CAAAAAAAAAAAAAAAAAACCAAGGCATTAGCTTTGACTTTTCCTCCTCTTTCAGGCCCATTTTCTAGCAGATAACCAAGTCCTTCCAAATCTACCTCATAAATATTTATGACTTTGGTCTACTTCTCTCCCTTCTCTTGGCTATTCAGGACTTCACCTCTCATCTGGAATTATTACAGTATTTTCTAACATACTGTAGAAAGGGTTGTCTTTCCCCTTCCAATCTTTTCTCCATACTGTGCTCAGAAATATCTTTATAAAAAGACAAATCTGATCAAGTTATTCCCCTAAATAAAACCTTTTTCTGTTTTCCAACCAAGTCCAAACTATTTTATGTTATTTACATAACCCTCCAGACCTTGCATCTACTTGCCTCTCTAGCTTCATTTTTTGCTACTACTTTTATACACCTGGCTTCAAAAATGCTCAATTTATTTAGATTTTTTAAAAATAAATTTTATTGTATATATTTAAGGCATACAACATGATGTTATGGGATACATATAGATAGTAAAAAGGTTACCATGATGAAGCAAATTAACATATCCATCCATCTCACATAGTTACCTTTTTTTTTTTTTAATGTTTTCGTGTTATTTAGGTTTCCTGAAAGCACCTTACACCTTTGGGGTCTTGCATATGCTCTTCAAACCCTAGATTAAATCTTACTTACTCAGTGTCCTTTTCCTCTCCCTCTAGGTCAGATTAGGTTCTGGTGTGACCATGAGCTGTCTTGCTCACAGCTCTACCCCCAAAACATTACACGTTCAAACCCTAGATTAAATCTTACTTACTCAGTGTCCTTTTCCTCTCCCTCTAGGTCAGATTTGGTTCTGGTGTGACCATGAGCTGTCTTGCTCACAGCTCTACCCCCAAAACATTACACGGTGGCTGGCACATACCAGGGAGTCAATACAAGTTTTTAATTCATCTTCCTTTTCTCCAACTCTCTAGGCCAAGTTTGAACTGATCGTGTCCGAGGCCTCTTACCTGCGCAGTCTAAACATAGCTGTGGATCATTTCCAACTTTCAACCCAACTCCGGGCCACCCTTTCCAACCAGGAACACCAATGGCTCTTCTCTCGTTTACAGGATGTGCGCGATGTCAGCACCCTGTGAGAGTTCCCTTCTCCCAAATTCCTCTAACTCAGCCTCACATCGTTAGCCTTTAAACCTTCAGTTGATTTTTTCCCTCATAGAAACTTTCTCATTGCCACAGTCACAGGATGACACTGGGCCTCAGCTCCCCCCACGATTCCCAATGGCCATAGGGATGGAAAGGGCAAAGAAGAGGAGAGGGTTGAGTGGATAGATGCATTAATGGATCAATAAATGAATGAGAGCTCCTTTCTGAGCTGAGGATTTAGATATACCATGGGCATGCCCTGCATTGGAGCTGAAGTATAGAAATCATCTAAAGATCAGAAAAGCAGAATGGAATCAAAAGAACAAGAAATGGAACGTTAGGATCAGAGAGTTAGATCAGGGGCAAACTAGGGAGAGCCTTGGAGAGAATTCTAGTACGTAGCAATGGGCACAGAGCTAGGGAGAGTCCATAGAAGTTATTAACTATGCAGAGAAGAAGTCACAAGCTCAAGGTATAGCAGGGGTCAGCCAACTGCTGTTAAAGTCCAGAAGTTTCACGAGAACTATTTAAATACTACACAGGTTCCTTTCAGACTTGGAAGAGAACTTCGAGAACAACATCTTCTCCTTCCAAGTATGTGATGTAGTCCTGAACCATGCCCCAGACTTCCGCCGGGTCTACCTGCCTTATGTCACCAACCAGACCTATCAGGAACGCACCTTCCAAAGCCTACTGTGAGAATGACCTCCATTCAGTCCCCATGTGCGCGCTGCAATGACCTTGCACCAATCCCCGCCCCAGGGTGCTATCCCAAGAGCACATCTTCTTGTGCCCACTCTGTGATCTCCAGCCCCCATTCGCCCTCCATTTCATCCTCACTCCCATGCCCCCCACCCCCATACATTGGCTCCCACCATCTCTTTCCCAACCCACAGACAACTCCACTGAGCCTTCCATTCCCCATGCCTTCACCGAGTGCTCCGTTACTCCCCACGTCCCTCCTGACCGGAGGCTCGCTGCTCATGCAGGAATAGCAGCAGCAGTTTCCGAGAGGTCTTGGAGAAGCTGGAGAGCGACCCTGTCTGCCAGCGCCTTTCCCTCAAGTCCTTCCTGATCCTGCCCTTCCAGCGCATCACCCGTCTCAAGCTGTTGCTCCAGGTACAGCAGATCCTACCTTGGTCCTCTCCCCTTAACTGAGAGGGATGATCTCAGGGAGCCCCAAGGCAAGAGACTGTCCATTCTTCTGCCCTGTTTCCACGTCCTGTGGATGACGCGAGCCGCCTCCTCACTGCCCACACCTTTCCTTCTCAGAAATCTCTGCTGCTGAAATTTTGTCCCTGGGCTTCTCCATTAACCAACCCCCTTTTCCTGTTTTTCCATTCCTTTTTCCCATCTGCCTACTGTTTGTTCTACAGAACATTCTGAAGAGAACACAGCCTGGCTCCTCGGAAGAAGCAGAGTCCACGAAGGCGCACCATGTCCTGGAGGAGGTAGGCAGCCACCACCTCCGCTCTGGCCCCCTGACTGTCCTTTATGGAGAAGTCCTTCCTTGCCCAGGCCCACAACTCCAGAAAGCATGGGAGGTGGGACCTCGTTGCTGGGAACGCTCACCACCTCTCTACACCCACCAAACCTCCACACGCACAACCCCCACATTCACTCTTACTTTCACTCAGCCTAGTAGTGTTCTGCCAGGTCCTACAAAGTATACCAGGGTCCTAGGGCTTCAACTTGATGCTGCTGTCACTCAACTCCAGCCTGGTAGAAAAGAGGGAGGCCATCACAACCTATATCCAGATTTCTTTCAGGGGACTCAAAGGTCAGAGCCTCTAACCCAGTGCCATTCCCCTTTCCTCACCCTGCTCAACCCTCAGCTGATCCGAGACTGCAACAACAATGTCCAGAGAATGCGACGGACAGAGGAGCTGATCTACCTGAGCCAGAAGATTGAGTTTGAGTGCAAAGTGAGCGAGCCCCCCTGCACCCCCACCCTGGCTCTGGTCTCTAGCATGTCGCACAGGTCTCCCACTTCCATTGAACCATCTTGCTCACACTGTGCCCAGTCTGCAACCTCATTTCTGCCCACCATCCATTCTGTCCTATCTCTGGGATGCCTACTTCAGTCTCCAAGATGTATTGTTAAGTGCAGAATGGAGGGCGCAGTCGCACAGGTCTCCCACTTCCATTGAACCATCTTGCTCACACTGTGCCCAGTCTGCAACCTAATTTCTGCCCACCATCCATTCTGTCCTATCTCTGGGATGCCTACTTCAGTCTCCAAGATGTATTGTTAAGTGCAGAATGGAGGGCGCACAGAACTGTGTGTACATTATACTGCCTTTGGTGTAAAAGTGGAGGATAAAAATCTATATATGTATCTGCTTGTGTATGCATGAGGAAAAAAGGAGCAGTGGTTACCTGGGGGCTGGGGGGGCGGGTGCACATGGGAAATGGACGGATGATGGAAGAATGAGGGAGAGCTTTTCAGTATAAGTCTTTATAAAAAATTTTGGTGCTTGAACCCTTACCGTTTTACCCAGTCTCCTTCTAGTCTAACTAAAGCAACATAAAAGTGGATCCAAACATAGGGTCAAAATCTCCCATCCAAACACAAATCTAAAATGACACTCCACATTCAAATTCCAGCTCAGAATAGACACCATCATTACCTCCATGGAGGATAAGGAAAATCTCTTGTCCACCTACTAATCTTATCCAATGTCATCATCTTGACCCCAGCTCCAGCTCCATGCAAGCCCCACCTAGTTCACTTTATTCTCGTCCCCATATCTGATTCCGACTGTGTCTCTCATGTTTCTGGTTAGAATCAAAGAGGAAATAGATGTGAGGACTGCTCGCCTTCTAACTTCTAAGGCACATCACACTGTTCCCTGCCTTTTCCTTCACTAATTCCTAATCGGGCTCTTCCACCTCTTCTTCAGTTCAGGCTTCTAGGGCAGAGCTCTCTCACATAGTCTCTAGCCTGCGTTGGACCACAGGTGCCTCCCCTTTGCCTGAGCATAGAAACATGGGAGCCACACACCAGTGGACAGTGGGAGATACAGGGTTCAGAGAGAAATAGGATCTAAGTGCGTGGCTATGAGCAGGAGGGAAGATGTGGAAGAGATGATTGTCCGTGGTGGAGCTTAGTTGGAAGCAGCATGGTGAGGAGGGGAAGACTGAGAGGAAGCTTCTTGTCTGTGACACTGCTTCTCTCTCTCCCCTTGCCCTGTAGATATTCCCGCTTATTTCGCAGTCACGCTGGCTGGTGAAGAGTGGGGAGCTGACCGCCCTTGAGTTCAGTGTCTCCCCAGGTCTGCGGAGGAAACTGAACACACGTCCAGTCCACCTGCACCTCTTCAATGACTGTCTGTTGCTGTCCCGGCCCCGAGAGTCAGTGACTGGAATGGGAGGCCAGAGCACAAGAGGGGAGTGGGACGAGGCAAGAGGGAAGGTCTAAAAGGGGCAGAGAAGGGCCATACTCCTAGAGGAACCCTTCTCAATGGCTCCACCCATAGAGTCCAGGTCATGTCCTAGAGAAAAAAAAAAAAGCTCAAAGCAAAAAAGGGGATCCCACCAAACTATGTCAAGAGATCATACAGCAGGACCTGTACTATGTTATAGGCGCAGAGCAAAATGCAGCTAATTAGCTTATCACATTCTCAGATCAGTCTATTTGTTGGTTCTTTGGGCTGGACTCAACCTCCTAGCCTAGAGATATTTACCTAATTCCAGATCTTAACTCTCTGGTCCTAAGGGCATTAAAAGTTTATATTTGTTCTGTCTCTTCAACTCTTTAAAGTGGTAAAGTATCCATTGCACTTGATATGTGGTTTGCCATACTGGTGACAAATCCCTGAGGACCTGGGAGCTACCATGTTGGGAGCCAGTTAGGACTATTTTATGGTTTTTATGGGAACTTTCAGGCTGCAGATGCTACAGTTAGGGATTTTTGAATCCAAGGATGTAAGGGTGGATGAAGTGTGGAAACCTGAGATCCAGGTTGAAAAGACTGTATTTTGCAGGGGGAGCCGATTCCTGGTGTTTGACCATGCTCCCTTCTCCTCCATCCGAGGGGAAAAGTGTGAAATGAAGCTACATGGACCCCACAAAAACCTCTTCCGGCTCTTCCTGCTGCACAACACACAAGGCACTCGGGCTGAGTTCCTGTTCCGCACCGATACTCAGTGAGATGGGGCTGGGCAGAGGAGATGGGGGTGGGCACCCTGAGAAGGATGTGGGACCAAGGCAGAAAATGTATCCAGAAAACAGCCACAGTGCCATGTAGCCCACCCTGGAATGGGGGGCATCCATAGTGAAACCCAACTCCTAGAGCTAATAGACAACTTGCAGGAGATTGGGGATGGCAGAGGGTACAAAGTGGCCAGCAAGCCTTAGCATCTATATTATATCCTTTACTCAAGAAGGACAAGGTCAGTGAGACATCAGAAGGGAGATGAACTGGTATGACTGAGCCAAGAATTGTAATACCAACATCCATGAGCAAATGCCCATGTGTACAAGCCAGAAATCGTATGTGAATAAGACAAGCACTAGGTGCCTTGTGCTTTCTTTACTCCCACCTCCCAACCCAGTCCTCTGCTAAGCAGAAATCCACAATATTGAGAACTATGATTTGCTTATCTTTTCAATAATAATAATACTAATGATAAAATATATTCACATATGCATACATTTTTGAGAGTATTAATAATATCTATAAAATCTGGCACACAGCGCCTACAATAATGAACATCTGAAAGACTATAGCTGTTATTGCTGTTATAAAAGATAAAGAGTCTTTCTTTAAAAGTTTGACATATCTAATGGTCTGAGGAACTCCATGTTGTAGACACTTTTCAATTCTATCCCTCGGAAAGCACTTCAGGGTGGGAGCGATAATTACCGTCCTCACTTATAGAACAGAGAAGGTGGTGTGGGGTTTGTATGCAAAATATCACATATGTCAAATAATCAGATGTGGAGTTACATTCTTTGTTTCGTGCTTTGACCAGCAACTTCCTGGAACAGTAATAGTGTCAGCTCTCAGTTACTCAGGCACGTTTGGAAGCGGAGGCTCAGAGAATGCAAAAACCTACAGTTGATTATGCAGTTAGGCTTGGGTTACATTGTGCCACAACAATGAAAATAGTAGATATATCTCCCTGATCTAATTATTATTACAGAATAATTTTCATCTTTGAGCTATTTAATCGAAGGGAGGTGGGCAAGAGAAAGTGATAGAGGGAATCTAAACTGAGATGAACATTTTGCTTAGTACAATCTCCAGAATGGATAATCTACATGTGCATAATTGTCAGTTGACTTTATCCTCCTACTTGGAAGATATGAGAGGCCGTTAGGAGGACACACCTGGAAAGAGAAGGGGAAAAATAAAGTGTGACAAGACAAATTGACATATACTTCAAGATTTTGTCATATTTCCAACCAAACAGAGTCCCATTGACTTTTGTCATAGAAGGCATTGAACTGGACAGCTTTTTGAACTAGACAAGTCCTTCCCACAGCCACTTGCCTTCCCCAACACTGGCCTTCATCCCACACCCCCAGAACTGCAGTTGAAGCCATGACCCTGCTTTGTTTTCTCAGAAGTGAGAAGCTCCGATGGATCTCAGCCTTGGCCATGCCAAGAGAGGAGCTGGACCTTCTGGAATGTTATGGTGAGTGAGAGTCTACGAAGGAGAGAGAAATGGCAGGGTCAGAGGTTTCCTTGGGATACGGGGGTTTACGGGGATGGGAGGTAACTCTGTGAGGCTTCCATTGCTTTTCCGCAGAAACTCAGGGTGAAAGATGGTTTACTGGAGCTTAAACACCTAAGATGCATCTGCTTAAAACTGTTTATCACCATGGCAGTACCCCTGCCCCATACACTCCCTGCCTTGGGCAATAGTTTGCTCTTTATAAAATACTTGTCCCCTTAAGTCTCTCTGCTTCTATTTTGCCTGGAGTTTACATGCTTGAAGGTCTTGGGGAAAGGGGGAGAAAGTATGGCTGCAGTGGGAATTACAGGAGGAGAACAAAATAGCTTTGCCTTGGCCACACCTCTCCTGTACAGGCGGACCTGAGGCCACCTACCCCAGCCTTCCGGGTACCCACGGTGGCCACAAGCACACACACATTGTGGATGTCTGCAGTCACACTAAGACTGGACTTCTTCTGGCGCTCATATCAGCCCCATAGTTGTCCTCCAGCAAGGATTCCCTAATTTATACCCAGATAGAGACTAAGCACAAAAGGACACTGGGCCTATAGTGACTGAAAAGACCAACGTTCCTAAGACAGGAACCTTGAGAAATGAAGTAGGAGAAGTGTGCTGTACTGAATTCTGTTACCTTGTACACTGTGTGCTGTAGGTGCCGGGCTTCAGTGCCCTGGTGGGCAAGGAGGGCAAGAGAATTCCTCCTTCTTCACTATGATCTTGTGAATAAGCACAAAAGGACACTGGGCCTATAGTGACTGAAAAGACCAACGTTCCTAAGACAGGAACCATGAGAAATGAAGTAGGAAAAGTGTGCTGTACTGAATTCTGTTACCTTGTACACTGTGTGCTGTAGGTGCCGGGCTTCAGTGCCCTGGTGGGCAAGGAGGACAAGAGAATTCCTCCTTCTTCACTATGATCTTGTGAATGGCACATGAGGATGGGCTTTAGTACTCTGTTCTCCTAAGAGAACCAGCGCAGTTGGTAAAGTACGAAGAGCAATGAACCCATGTAAGATGGAACACTTACAGGTCAGGCATACTCCGAGGCTTGTTATCTTGAGCTTCATATCTGTGGAAGTTTCCCCTAATTTATATAAATGCAGAAATATAGAAATCCAGAATGTCCTCAAGTACTTCAGTATGACCTCATCTTAACTTTACTAATTCCATCTACGACAACCTCACTCCCACATAAGGTCACATTTTGAGGTACAGGGGATTATGACTTCAACATATATTTTGGGGGAGACACAATTCAACCCATGACAGTGGAGAAGGCTCAGGAGTGGGCAGCCATGTGTGGTCCCCTGGGTGGCTAGACTTCTGCTGCTGGGGCTCTTTAGTTCATTCAGCCTTAGGATTCAGAAAAGTTTCCAGGAGTGTGGTCCAGGGGCAACTATCTTGAGTCTTTCCCAGATAATTCTTCTTCGCACCCACTCTGTTCCCACAGGCTGGCTGGAAGGCATGAGACTCTCAGATGGAGAGCGAGGCTGGTTTCCTGTGCAACAAGTGGAGTTCATTTCCAACCCAGAGGTCCGTGCTCGGAACCTGAAGGAAGCCCATCGAGTCAAGACCGCCAAACTACAGCTGGTGGAACAGCAAGCCTAGCTGTTCTCTGTATGGAAGCTGCTGAGCTTAAGAACAAGCTGTTCCTGAAGAGTGCTGGCCCCTGAACCCTGCTGCAGAGGCCTCCTGTGGGCCAAGAATTGAGCTTTCTGAAAGCACAAGGACAAAACCCAGCTAACCCAGTCGCTCGTCCCAGGCCTTCTCTTTTGTGCTTTGTGCTTGGTGGGGGGATTTTGAAGGACTTTGTACTGGACTCTGGGAACCTCTTTTCATAGGAAAAGGGACCAATGGGGTCTGAGCCTAGGATCTTTCCTGTACTCATACAGTATGTAAACATTCTCTGCTTCCAGAGCGTAGATTCAAACCTGGCCAAAGTTTCAGCCGTGGCCACATGTTAAAAAGAATCTGACCTCAGTCCACTGGAAGGAGTGGTTTAAGGGGAAGTAACACATTAGATGAGTGCGTCAACCTGGTGACTTCTAAGGTATCTTCCAACTCTAGACATTATCCATAATATTTGTGTGAGGTCAGTGTATGCATCTCTGAGATCTGTGTCTATTGGTGACAATGTGAGGGTAATACTCTCTCACTCTAATAAACTTGGCACTTCTCTGAGTGATTTCTTCTCAGACTCCTCAGCACTGAACAAGGTTCAGAACATGGAATCCCATGAGGGAGGGTTCCATTTGATTTAAGTGACATGAAAGACCAGGACAGTGCATTGGTTATGGCAGCTACTGACTCTGCCTTATTGGCCCCTGAGAATTTCGGCAGTTTTCAGCTTGTTATGGCTTCATTAATTGATGAGTGATGAAAACCCCATTAAAACCTTCTTTTTTACTCTACCCATAAGGTACAGGTATAGGCTGGTTTGGGTAGATTTGGCAAATTCTACTTAGACAATTCATGGTTTTATATTCTGACTTGAATTATTGTGAAGATATATTCCCAGCCCTTTTATCTTCTTTGTGAAAGGCAGCATGGTGTGATGGGAAGAGTTGTAGGATCCAAGTCAAGAGACCTAGACTGCAGTTACCACACTGCCATGATTCAACAGGTCTATGTCTCTGTTCCCTTAAATGTAAAATGCAGGATCAGACCAAGTAGCCTCCAAAGTCCTCTCCCACTCTAAGGATATACCAGTTAATTTCTGTCTCCCTTCATGTTGCTCTTCTCAGTTGAAGACTATCACTCTACAGTTTTTTTTTTCTCTTGTGGAGCCCTCATATGACAATAATATAGTCATCTTTTATGCCATGTTTTAAGCTGAATAGCTGGATCCTTCCTTGGTCATTCTTCTACTCTGTTTTATATTTAGGAAGGCTCAAAAGTAAAATTACATTGCAGCTTTGTACAAAGGTAAGAATAATACGATAAAAATTTGTCCTATGCCTAATTAATGGTGATATGGCATAACAGTATTACTTTTGTTAACACACTATGTTTTCAGTCCATCCTAAAATATAAGTTAACTTGCTTAATTTTTTTAAAAAGTTATCACTATATATATATAGTGATATATAATTAAGATATATAGAGTATAAGATTATAATTAAGATAGGGGCTAATATTTTATCCTAAGGAGGATGACACTGTAAAAAATATAAAATAGAGGTGGTTTTAGAGAAGTTCAATTGAGGATTTTTACTATTTTCACAAAGCCAGATTTTAAAAATAAATGATACTATTAATATAAAATAATGTGCATGTATATAAATATTAGTATATAAACTAATAACTGATTTTTTAATAGCAATAACAATAACTATAATATAAACTATTGTGCAAACCAGTATATCTGAATACTGGCCATATGGCTTGAACATAGCCATATCCAATCTTGTATTTTCAAGGCAAATTCTTCCTTATATTTTCAAAGACATAAAATAATCAACTTCTAAATAATACACAAGCAAACAATTTTTTGAAATGCATGACTGCTTCTTTGCTTGAAGTTGCTAAGACTTTCTGATCCCTTTGGCCCTAAGTTCTGTAAGATTTCTAACCAAAACTGTTGTTTAGATTTTAATATGTTTCATTTAATATAGTTATTATCACTTAATCTGGAAAATTAAAAGACATCTGGCTTCTACCTGTCTTTAGGTCCTTGGTTTAAAAAGGAAAAAAAGAAAAACACATGAATAATCTCTCCTCAGTTGAATTACTAAATTTTCTGTACTTTGGGTTTGGGGAGTTTGAGTATAGGTTCACTCACTGTTCCTTCCTTCTTGAGATTTCCAGAATTTAACTCAACTTCTTTTTTAATCCTGACTGGCATCTTGGGGTTAGAAACATGGCAATTTCTTATGAGAGACTGAAAACAACCACTAACCAACAGCTTTTGGTCAGAACTGTATTTGAAACGTATATGAATAAGCAATATTTTATTACTTTTTTAAGCAAAATAATGTTCAAGGTAGTGTCTACAGGAGACATAAATAGTCCTGTTTATAGACCCTTTTCTGAATTGTAACATGCTTGGAGCTTAAAATCATATAGATATATGCTGAATTATTTCCTTTTTGCACCTGACCACATTGAACTTCCATGCCATTTTTACCTTCTGACCCAGCTTAGAAAGCTATTTATTAATTTTTACCACCAACTTCCATTTAAAGTTAACTATGACCTTAAGATTTTAATTTTGCTCTACTTACTCTGTCTCAGCCATTTATAATGATTTTAATAAGCCTAGCCCACACATTGGTATCTGGAAGGCTCACAGTTTGAGATGTGTTTACTTTACCTAATTTGTTTTCATTCTCTTAAAATAACTTCTATATCCATGAGTTCTATGGTGACTGATTTTTTTTAAATTTACCTTTGGGATAGAAGTTGTTTAAAAGTCTTCAAAAATCTAAATAAATCACATTCACTAGTTTCCCTTCTTTTTCACACATATTTTTCCCCCTGAAGTAAACTCATTTCCCTTTTGGACCCTGTAAGGAAAGTGAAGATAAATGGTCAGGGTCCCTCGGGGGTTCGGAGTACAAGCATTTGATGTAAATGTGCTCGTGTGCCCAGGTGTCCCTTGGTTATTGCCTAATGTAATTGCGCATGTGCACCCAGGTGTCCTGGGTTGTCTGACTTGCACTCAGGTGCCCTGGGTTATTGGACTTAGGTATAAAGGATGAGTGGCTCCGATCTACAGGGTCCCCTCCCCCTAGGATTCTCCTGGCCGGGGCGGGGGGTGAGCCCACATGGAGGCCGCTACTGCTGCTGCAGGCTAGTGCTGCCAGGGCCCTCCCCCCGCTCCCAAGATGCTCCAGGTGGCCATCACCACCACTGCTGCTGGATCTGCTGTAAGCTGCTGCTGCTGCTGAGGGAGCCGAAGGCTGAGCTCACATTGGAATGAACTCAGTCAATGGCTCCCGGGATCTTTCCCCATTACCTAGCTTGTGGACTTGTATGTGAGGGGTCTGGTGACCCAGCCTGTAAATGAGGCTGTATATACAGTATATGTATATACTGGCTGTATACGCCAGTCTGTACAACGGGTTTGAAGAGTCTATGAGCCTAGCCCTAGCAATACAGACCCCATGTTAATCCATTCACAATATTCTGCTTTTTAAGTGTTTAGTGATATTGTCCTTCTTGTAAACCCTACTTGTTTCTGAGGTCAAATTAGAAATCCAGTATTTTGTTACTTATAGGCATGGTTATTCCCCACCCACCCTGCCAAGGCACATCACTGAGACTTGTGCATGCTTGTACTTGGGTTTTCAGACCTGCACATAAATATCTTTTGTGGTGGTGACTGGGCTCTATCTATCACTAACACGCTCCAGTGACCCTACAGCCACATTTGCTGTAAACATGACTCAGAGCTGCATGATTACAGCAGCTCCGAACCTGTAGTTGAGTGTAATCTTCTAACTCTGCTATCAGGTGTGTGGAAGGGCCAAAGGTTACAAGTAAATCAGCTAAAGAGACAGATGGCAAACTCAGTCTTGGTTCTGACTTAGATTTAGAACATTCTCCATGCTTAATAGTCTTTGACCCATTTATTCCAACCTGCCTGTTTTAAATGACAATTATGAAATGGAGTTTAACTAGCATCTTCCTCGGAAGGGCATCTATTCAGTCTGTAATTCAAGGAAACTGTAAAAAACGTGGCTATGCGCATAGGCAAAGAAAACTTGGATAGCGAAGGTGGGTTAATGAGGGTGTTGATTATCTCTGGGTGGTCTGTAAGCAGAAAGTTTGTGGAGGAGAGGAGCCAGGCTGGTGTGTGCTATAAACTATTTTTCCAAGCCAGGGAGGGTGGGGGTGACTGCTGATCCTTGCTGCTTGGTGAATGAGTCATGAGCCTGAGGGCAGAGCTTGCTCCAGGGAGGGGGCCGTCTGGCCCACAGAGTTCTCAGGGAACACCAATTGGCAGATGGATATTTTCTCGGCCTTCTACCTGAGCATTTCCGATAGGCAACTATCTCTGAACAGTGCAGATGGAAACCTAGAAGAGGAGTGGCAGTCAGTCAGTTTAGTGCCCTGAGTAGGATGGAGGTTACAGTTCTGCCCACAGAGCAGGGGACTCCTGAACACCAGGGAGAAAATTCAGACGGTGGGAAAGGATGGCTGAGAGCAACAGATCATGGGAAACTGTGGTAGAGGCATAAGCCCAGCAAGAGAGACTAAGCCTCCCAGAAGCAGGTAGTTAGAGGGAGAAAAGGAAAATGCAGAGAGCAAAGAAAGGATGGACCCATCCAGCCCGTTCTAGAGCATTTTCTTACTGAGATCACTTGTGGTGGCGTGAGAAAATGGCCCACTGTTGGAGGTGAGAGAACACTGAAGATCTTTGCGTCTAACACCCTCATTTGTCACAGTGGAGCCTGAAGAGGGGAAGTAATTTGCCTAATGTCACGTAGCCAGTTAGTTATAAACTCCAGATTTAACAGCTCAGTGTTCACTGCTAAGATTTAAGCAACCGATCTGCTGTTTGTGCTTGTCACAAAAGGTTGAAGGTGACTTGTCATTAAGATACAAAGACTGAGCAAACAAAATGAATATTTTTGAGAGAGCAGGAGGAGCTGATGGTCAGACTTGTGGAATTTTTAATAAGTAGGTTTTGGTGAAAAATTTGAGCTTGGCCAAGCAACAGACCGGAAATAAGGATCAAGGTGTGGTTTTCACAGCAATTCATCATCCTTGCATAAGCAGGGCCTTGAAGAACTGGAGAGTCCCAGTAGGGAGGGGGAGAGAGAGAGAAGCTGTTTGGATTTGGGGGAGGATAGTACAAAAGGATCTTTGGGACAAGATGAAATCTATGCAGAAAGCCTGGGCTTCATTCCTCAAATAATACCGGAATTAACAAATAAGAGGGGGGGAAAGACAAAAGAGGAGTTTTCTAGTAGAGAAAATCAAGAAAAATGAATGTATAAAATATATATTCTTTTTAGGAATTCATTTATTTGGAGAATATTTATTAAACACCTACTGTGAGCCAGCTTTTTGGAACTTCGTGCACAACAGAACAAAACAAAATTTTTGCTATAACGTAAAACATTTTTAAACATTTGACAGTACTTCATAGTCCTTTATGGGAATATTTTTTAGTTCACTAGGTATTAAAATGTATATGATTTCACCAATTCAAGTAATCACTAGTCATGATAGGAAGTA